GATGATACATCTAGTGAAAGGAAGACTAACTTATTTGTCTCTGTTTTGTTTCACGAGAGAAGAACTTGTGTCTTGTTGCAGCTGCTTTTTCCTTAGTTGTGGAACTTTGCATGGAGCATTGTTGGAAGGCTGAGAGGTGGAGATTTGGACTTGAGGCTTTTACAGGGTTAACACACCATTAGCTTTGCACTGTTATTTGCAGGTCTGTGGTGCAGTGCTTTGCTGCAGGTTTTGGTTTCCATTCCTCCCCCCAATTTCTGCTTTAGTGCTGTAGATACACGTACACAGGCTACTTGTCCAAGTAAAGTTATCAGAAGTAAACCAAGTGCCTAAGTCCTCCAGCTAGTGTAGTAGGTATCGATTTCCCCAAGCTATACGTGAAACAATTTGCGACGATTTTGAGAGGTTATGCACTAATGTAACAGCGATTTTGGGTTTTTTCATATTTTTTTTCTTCATTAATAGTTCTCAACTTGGAGATTATAGGATCCAGATGACTTGGCAAAAAGTATCAGGTGCTCTTGGCTTTCCTTTGAAAACCCTGTATCTAGTGTTTGCACTGACTAACAAGATGGTATTGCTGTTTTTTGTACTGTTTTGTTTTTAATTTAAACTAAATATTGGGAATTTAAGGCGGTTGTAATTACCTTTGTTAAATGTTGTTAATCATAATTTTGTATTCAGGTTTAATTTTTGCTTATTCAGTGGCAACTTATTTTCAAAGACCTTGAAAATACAATAAGATAGCATTATCTGACCTTCAGAGTACTGAAAACTATGAATCTATGCCCTGTTAAGAGGTGACTGAGAATCATGTTAGACATGTCAACTGAAAATTGGATTTCATAAATACACATGAACTAGAGCCCTGGGCATATTTTTTTGAGAAGCTTAAAAATCCAATTTTTTTTTTTTTTTAAAGCAGGACTCTCCCTCCTGATGGTCACTGTCTTCTCGTTTGTCCTCTTACTTTTCTTTGTGACAAGTTTTACATTTTTTTATGTTTTTATTAACTTCTGTGAAGTTGTTTACTCTGAAAATTGTACTGGAATATTTTAAGCCAAGCTGATCTTTCACCAGGTGTACTGCATGTAAGGGCTTTTCCTGCTAGCAAAATGCTTAAAGAGGATCATGTTACTGGTCGTCTGAGTTGTTATTTTACAAAATCACAGCTATGTGGTCGGGTAAGATTTTGATAACTGTTTTGTGCACGCTTCTGGGGGGTGGGGGTTGGCATTTCCCTGAGGGTTACTGATTAGACTAAGTAAATATTGGTGTTTGATATCTCTCCTAACGAACCTGTCCATGAAATGATTATGTTGTAAATATACCTGCAAATCCAAGGGTTAGTTTTGATATTCTGGTGTCAGTATGGAAGATCTTACACATCTATTTAATACTCCAGTGTCAAGGAATGTATGTAGAAAAGCAGTCCAGTAGTCTTTTCTTAGTTTCCTTTGGCTGTTGCTGTACCTTCTCCAGCCAGTGCCACCTCATCGTAGGGTTAGACTGACGCTTCGTTCCACTCGCAATGTGAAGTGAATGGATACAAGAACCAGACCACCTTTGCCACCTTAACTTATTTCCTATCGATGTTAACTTTAACTTAGAATGTTAGACATAAATATGATTGTTGTATATTTTATACCAAGACCATTCTGTAAATACGAATTTATATTACTTTTGAAATGCTTCTGAGATACTATTATTTGCTGTACAATGTAATTCCAAAACAGATATGCAAACAAGTATGTCTCTTTCATGGATATTTAAACAGTGAGATCTTCCATGTTGAAGGTGATGTAATTTTTTTAAAAGATTTTTAAATTTTAAATTGCTATTTTGTTACAAAAATAGAGAAAATATAAAGGTTTGAGAAGTCCTTATTTGCCCTCAGGGAAAGAGCCCTCTGTGCACCAGAACTCCACAGAACATCTTCAGCATGATCTGAGGGTGAATATATACTACATAAATTGATTGTGTATTTACCTTTAACTTTTTAATTTTAAAATTGCAGTTTTAAAAACTTGGTTGTGCTCTGCTGGAGGGGGTTGGGATAAGCTGCTTACACACATTGCCTGTTTGTCCAGTGAAATGACATAAGCCTGACATATTCCTGCCAACTTCTTGGCATATTTAAGAACAAATGTATCTCTAGACTTTTGTCTGCAGCAGGAGGTCCCGTGATAGAGCAGTTCTCTAGGGTGACCATACACTTCAAGTGGAAAGCTGGTTCTGAACTGAGGCCAGGGTTTTTTAGTTGATTTTTTTAACCTCTAGAAGGACAGGCAAAAGAATTATTTGGGGGTTTAACAGCATGCCAGCTTTGTCTTACTGTTTTAACAGTGACTGTGTGGGTTTTGCCATGAAACTAATGCCCTCCAGTGCCCTGACAGGGAGAAGAAGCTGCAGGTGGGAACACCTGGCTGTGGCTTTCTTCTCTATTGAAGTTTCAGCCCTTGACCCTTTACAAACAAGTATGTATTCATGTTGTTAGTCGTAAATCAGGTGCCTTTGGGCTGTGGAAGGGCTTATTTTCTGACACTGAGATAGAGTGACTTCCCTGTGTGTGTTAATAGCAGTGATGCCCATTTAGGTTTTGGCCTGACTTACCTGTGCTGTCAGAAAAGAAGGCCCGTAGCAGATCGGGGAGAGAGATTGGCTCTTTTGCTTTGCTTGGACAAGCATTTTGGGTTGTTTTGGTTTGGTTTAATTTTTTTTTTCCCCATTAGGGGTACAGCAGGGATTTCACATGCAAGAGAGACAGGAATTATTAGTATCTAAGTTAATTGTGTTGCCTCACTACCTGGATTCATTCCTTGGTTTGCCTCATTTCCCACATAGGTCTTAATAGAGACTAATGCTTGTGCTGGGAGAATGCTTGTGTGAGAAAGTAATTATCTGTACATTCTTAACATATACTTAGAGCAGAGTGATTGCCCTGCTACTGATATTTTGTTCCTGTAAACAGGTGACAAGAAATGAATCTTAGTGTTTATGCAGATTTTGCATTGTAGAATGTATACTAGACCCTTCAAAGGCAAGGTTAGACTCTTTGCAAAGCAAACTGGCGTTGGTTCTTGGTAGTCTAGTACAGGGACACTGAAGTTTGGCATTTGATTTAGGAAAAAAAAGTTGTACACAGCTGATTATGTTAAATAAGCTCTTAATTAAGCTCTCTGTAGAAGTCTAATTTGGAAGGTTTTAGTGCTTTGATAACTCAATTGAAATTTTAATTTCTCCTGTACTCAAGAGCTGAATGCTGTTCTTGTATAATAGTGTACTAGGCTGGATGAGGTACAAAATAATGCACAGTGGTCAGAAACAGCTGAGGAAAGAACGCTTCAAATAACTCAAATCTAAACTCAGAATAGTTCCAAACATTGGTTTTGTTTGCTTTTTTAAAGCACAAGTTGTCAAGTTGTACCTGTTGCTGTACATAAACACTGTATGCCAGCAGCTCCTTGATCATATTTGTGAACAGACTTTTCATTCATTATTAGACTGTTATTAAAGGAAGGTGTTGAATTTGAGAGTGTAACAAAATGAGAAATGATCAGATGATCTGTAGGATATAAAAGTCCATTTTTATGTTGTAGTTTAATCCCTTTATTAGGAAGTTCCCTCTCATTGAGGGACCTCTTCTGCAAGCAGAACCCAATAAATGTGCTTTTTTAAATGACCCAATTTCCCAGTATAAATGAACAGCTGACTTTGGCAGTAGTCATCCCCGTGCATCTCTTTGCTGGCAGGGGAGCAGGACAAGGGGAAAAAAAACCCCAAAACTGTCAGCGATGAGATGAAACAAATCTGAATAATCAAAGTGCCCAATGCCCAAACATAATCCTACACCCCGTTATTTACGGATGCTTGTGGAAGCTTTTAATCACTCGAGACTTTGCTGTAAAAGCTGAACTAAAGCAGAGCCTGGCTGCGTTTCTTACTGCCAAAAGCCAAGGTCATTTGCACATAGCCCCTGGATTTCTCCAGAGTAGATCTCCGTTACCCAAGGCATGGGAATGCATGCGTTTTCTTAGCTGGGCAAACAAGTACATTATACAGTAGTTGTGATACAACACACGTGGCTTTGATTTGTACTGCACATACCCACTGTACAGCCACTCCAGAGTATTGTGGTTAGCTTGCAGCATCTGCTGTCGCATTGATACTGTTTACTGCGTATTCTTTTCCCTGGAAGTTTTAAAGAAAATTTTTTTTTTCTTGTTGCATTGATTACATTTTATAAATTTGCTTAGCTGGAAAGTTTGGGAAAAGAGGCCTGTTTGTCAATTGTACAACCGATTGTGAAGCTCTAGTGTGAATATTTTTACGTCTGTATTAGACATTTTCTTTGCAAATCTATTGTTCGATTGAAATGTAAATGAAATAAAAGATGGTGTACACCCATCATGTATAAAGCAGGCACCATCGCTACGATGGATTTAATGCTCATTTTTATGGCGCATTCTCAGCTTCTATTTAAAACTATAATTTAAAGAAAAAAAAAATCTGTAAAATGAAATGGGGATATATGGGGGAGTAAATTCTATTCCGTTTATTTCGGTTTTGATTCCCACTGGTAATGTTTCCCTTCGTGTTAGAGTAGGGGGGCCCCGGCGGGGCCCGTGTGTCGCTGTAGCACTGACGTGCAGAGGTTGTAGCTTTGGCTGGGCACGGATAGAGCATCCCGGTTCGGTGTTTGAGAGACTCGATGGAAGAAGTTTGCAGTATTGACATGTATTTGCATGCACGAATAAAAATTATTTGTCCACCTTAACCGGGCCGTTTGTCTTCAGCCGGGGCCGGGGAGGGACGAGCGGGGGGTCTGGTCCCGCTGGGGCGGGGGGAGCGGTACCGGGGTGGGGGGAGTCCGGCCGTTCCCCGGATAGCGGTACCGAGAGGGTCCGGCTGGGGCCGGGGGCGTTCCCGGTACCGCGGTGGGTCCGCCCATTGCCGGGGCGGTTCCCGGGGCCGTTCCCGTTCCCGGGGCCGTTCCCGCGCCAGGGGCGGTTCCCGGGGCCGTTCCCGTTCCCGTCCCCGCCCCTTTCCCGCCGTGCCCCGCGCGGCGGCCCCGGAAGGCGGCGGGAGCGGGTGAGGCGATGGCGGGGCCGGGCCGGGCCGGGGAGAGCGGGGAGGCTCGGCCGGGGATGGGTCCGAGGGGCGGCCGGGACGGGCGGGGCTGTGCGGCCGCTTCGCTCGGGGCCCGCGGTGTCACCGGCCCCTGGCCCGGCCCCTCTGGGGTAATCCCGGTAATCCCGGGCCATCTGCCCGCTGTGATCGGCTGGAGCTGGGTTTAACTCCCGGGAGCTCTGCTGTGTCCATGGGCTGAGCGGGGTCTGTGCCACACACGCCCAGGGCTGGCTTCTGCGAGCAGGAGAGCCCTGCAGAGAAGCGTGAGCCCAAATCAGCTGATCTGGCTAATATTCCTCCTTCCAGGTCTTGATAGAAGCTTCTCTCTGAAGGACTGCAAAGGAATACAGGTCAGGACGTTTTAATTTGCTTAATTAAATTGGTGGTTTTTCAGCTCACGTAAATAATTGTTAAAATAATGCAAATAATAGTGGGCATTTAAATGTCAGTAACTGGGAATCAGGCTGGTGGAGCTGTCCAGGGAGGCTCACAAGGCTCCTGAATCTCGGTTAGAAAATTAATTCTCCATGAGTGAGAACACACGTCAGGTGTTTTCACTAGTGAGCTTCAGAGCAGTTCTGTTTGTAAAGGTTTTAATTTAAGTGAGTTTGAAATTGTGACTTAAGAATTAACCCAAGGGACTGACTCCACCAAAGGCTGTTGGATGGTGGCCTGTGAACTGTTCTGGGGCTAAAAACTGCCCTGAGGAAGTGAAGGATCATCACGATGCATTTAAGGTGGTATCTCACGCCGCGTGTTTGATCAGAGCTGCATCCTCTGGTTTGTTAATTTATTTTTTAGGACATAATGACTACTGCAGATGATAAACTGCTTGGTGAGAAGCTCCAGTACTATTACAGCAGTAGTGAGGGTGAGGATGAGGACAGTGAGAAGGAAGATAAAGAAGGGGAGAGCAACATTCCTGAAAGTGTGGGAGAGGTGGAGCTCAGCAGCGATGTTAGCACCGATGTTAGCACTGTCAACACAGGTATGATCCTATCAGTGGAATTGTTCTGTAAATGCTTTGTTTGTTGGAAATTTCATGTGTTATTCTAAAATTCATTTTTTGAAATGAAGCTCCTGGTGTTTTGCATATTTGGGTCAGAGAGTGATCGTTTCCTGGCTGTTGTCTAACCTTATTTTTAATAGCTGGTTCTTGATTGTAATGTTTGATTTCTTCTCTGAGATACCTCAGTATTTTATCTGAAGCAGTCGGGCTTTGGATAGAAAGCTGATACAAGGCTGATTTGTACAATTTGGTTGATAATAAATCATTATTTTTGTTCTGATGAAAGCCATGTTAACAATAGGGGAAGCCTTGAGGGCTCGTGGTTCTATTTCAAGAGCACAGATACTAATCTGTGGGACAATTATGAGAATAGCCTAGTTAGATAAATTTTAGTCTTCTTACTAAAAAAAAAATAGATACAAACTCAAGGACATGCAAATAGCAAATCACTTCTTCCATTTCAGTGTTCTGCACGGTTACGGAAAGTTTACAACAGGGCCACTGTTTTACTGCTGATTTATAAATTATTACTTGATTTTAAATGATGATAAATATAAGTGTGTTACCCTTTTATACAAAATGCCCACACATTTAATCTCAGGTCCCAAGGGAGTCATCAATGACTGGAGGAGGTTTAAGCAGCTGGAGACGGAGCAGCGGCAGGAGCAGCGCCGGGAGATGGAGCGGCTCATCAAGAAGTTGTCCATGACCTGCAGGTCTCACTTAGATGATGAGGCTGATAAGCAGAAGCAGAAGGAGCTTCAGGAAAAAATCAATGGAAAGGTAGCATGGCACAAAGGAATTAAAGTGCCACTTAAAATGTTTAACATTCTCGTTTGCCTGTGCTGACAAATAAGTGGTTTAGCTGCAGTACCAAAGAAGTCCAAACCCTTTTCCCAGATTTCCCTGGTGTGTTGATCAAATAAGTCAACTTCATTAGTATGGAGGGTGGTACAGCAAACCTATGAATGCTGCCTCCCCTGCCTGAAGCAAGAGCTTAGGAGCCCTCGTTGATTCCATATCTAGTAAGTGGATGTTGGGAATTTAACTTTGAGCTCCAAGGATCAAAGGCATTGGAGGTAGAGAGTGGTTTTAATCAGCTGGGCTGTGAAGTAACCCTGAGTGTTAGTCAGAGAAGTTAGTTGTTAGCAGACAGTGTTTCTGCTGTCAGGTGATGCAGATTGGCTTTGCTCTCCTGTACCTTGAGTGATGCAGATGAACAGACTGAAATGCATAAAATCCTGTTCATTGCAGTTCTAAAGACAGGATGGTGCCACCACATGTTGACTGGAAAGCTAAATGAGGAAGAAGCTCCTCTTAGGTCAGGGACAGTTTCCAAATGAGCGCTCCCAGCTCGGTGAAAGCACATGGGCACCATTAACCTGGATTAAAGTGGGAGCACAGAGCAGCCACTTGTGCTATTAGTGCAGCTTGTGGAAACTGGAATGCCCAGGGCTGAAATCACTGTTCCCACTGGACATGGTTTCTAATTAGCTCAGAATGGAGTGTAATACAGAGGGTGCTTGAGCCTTGCATGGGTTGCACTTTGCTGTCATTACAGATGAGTGACCCACATTAATCCTCTTGATTTACATTCTCATTACATAAGTGACCCACATCGTGGTGCAGATCGTTTTCACATGTCTCTGTGTGTGTTCTTAGATGACTTTACAGGAGTATAACATGATCCACAACGACGAGGACGACGAGGAGTTCCTGCAGCGCTACAGGAAGCAGAGGATGGAGGAGATGAGGCAGCAGTTGTACAGTGGGCAGCAGTTCAAGCAGGTCTTTGAGATCACCAGCGGAGAAGCATTTTTGGACACGGTGGACAAAGAGCACAAGAGCACCCTGATCATGATCCATATTTATGAAGATGATATCCCTGGCGCCGAGTCCCTGAACGGCTGCATGATCTGCCTGGCTGCCGAGTACCCCACGGTGAAATTTTGCAGAGTGAAGAGTTCCCTCATCGGGGCCAGCACCCGCTTCACCAACAATGCCCTGCCAGCCCTGCTGGTCTATAAGGCCGGGGAGCTCATTGGCAACTTCGTGCGCATCACTGACCAGCTCGGGGAAGATTTCTTTGCTGTAGACCTGGAGGCTTTTCTGCAGGAATGTGGTTTGCTGCCAGAAAAAGACCTGCTGCTCCTGACTTCTATACATAACCCTTCTGCATGTTACAGTGAGGACAGTGATCTGGAAATAGACTGAGGCGCTGACGCCGAGGGCCCGTAGGTGTAGTTGTGCTGTGGGATGTTCTGTGCTAGGGATTGTTCTCTCCCTTCCATAGCGTGGGTATGTCTTCCTCCCCCTCCTGCACTTTGACTTCTGCTTGTTAAAAATAACATGAGGAATTCCTAGCATTTTCTCATTTTCTTAATTCAGTAAAGTACAGCTGAAACAGTCTCATTTCTATGCAATTCAAATGTGTTTTACTTACCATGAAGTTTTAACACGATTCAGTAAGTTTAGGAAGTTGTGTGTTGTCATCTCCCTTCTCCAAATTTATTTTAAACGTTTTGTTCTCGGATCAGCAGTGTGTGGTCAGTGTCCCTGCAGGTTTCCTGAACCAGTTGGATCAAGATGTGGTCACCAACTCCCTAAGACAAGAACTGAGACTGCAAATAGAGGAGTTTTTAAAATTCAAGAGTTAATAACCTGGTGCTGAACTGCTACCAGTTAACAGTGCAAGGTCCCATCTGCCAATTTGCAGTCTCCTTCTTGGAAGTACCTTGTTCTAACACTTGGCCTCAAATATTTGTTCCTTTCTCGCTTACAAATAACGACATCCCCTGACTTCATCCTGAAAATTGCTTTTCAGATGGAGACAGTTCTTCTTTCTTTAACCTTCCCTGAGACTTAAATGAGAAAATCTTGCAATTACAGCTTTTAATATGTTCTTGGGTTTTAAAATACTCGTCCTTAGAGTTCACAGTAGTCACTCCATCAGAAAATGAGCTCTGGCTCTTCAGAGAGACTGTTACAAAGAGCTCCAACGTGTGTGCTGAGCAGCAGCAAGAATTTTGTTGGCAAAATGCAGAATTAGGACTTAAATAACCTCAGAATTTCATATCTCCCTAAAATTACTAAATCAGTGCTAAAGTTCATTTCTGTCTGCCTTCAGTAGTAAAAAGTAGACTGTCATTACTTAAATATAGGACCCAGTGTAATGCTGTGTTTAATGATGAAATTTACTTGCAATTTTTATGTAAAGCACTTTGGAACACCAGGAAGAAATGCAAATGTGTCTGTGGATCATTGTAGGATCTTAATAAGAATGGCTCTTGGGCTAGAAAAAGGAGAATTTGTAACTGTGTATTTGAACTGTGTTTTTAAAAGTAATACGAGCAGAAAAATAAATAATCTGTAATTAAAAATGACTGAATTGGCACAAATTGTAGCTGTTTTAAGGAAACTGGCAGAAATCCAGGTTTTTAAGTGTGCTGAGAGATTATTTCTTTTCATCTCAGAGTTGCAGAAAAAAAACCCCATGTAAGTTATATGAAATTAAATCACTGAGTGTGGGTATCAGCACACTTCAGGAAAAAGTCAGAGTAGCTGTAACGTATATCCAGGATGAGATTCAGTGAAGTCTGTTGTGCATTTCAGCATCATCATAAAACCTGGCTTGGAGAGGGGGTCTGGGGAGAGCTGACTGCTTGAGTTGCTTTGAAGTTCTATTTTTATAAAGTGATTATTTTTTTTACCCCTATGGCAGCAAAACTGTGACAGGATCAGACCCTCTCCTGCTGCTCTGTGTCCCATGGCCTGGAGCAAGGTGACTCCTGGTGAGGAACCTCCTGTGCTCAGGTATGGGAGAGGTGGTTTGCAGTGCTGATAGCAAAAAGGAGAAGAAAAAGGGTCTGAATCCAACTGCTCTTTGATCTGGAAGAATATAGGGGAGAGAAGCTGTGCTACAATCCTGCTGCTCATTTGTGAGCAAGTCATATGGGAGTGAGGGGGCTGAGCTGAGAGAAAAAGCTGCTGCTGCTTTTGCCTGTTCTTGAAGCTAAATCTTCAAGAAGTTCTATAAATAGGAGTTGGAAAAAACACTTGCCAGGTAGGTTGTGTTGCCTCTGGGAGATGTTCTGTTTTGGAAAAAGCAGCTCACGGCAGGGAGGCCGCCGGGAATGACGGGTTTCACAGGCAGCTGTAACTGTGGGAGGGGAGCGTGGGATCACCTGGGGCTGCTCACGGGTAATTGTGTTCCAGCACAAACAGAATTTGGGCACAGAGCGTGAGTGCACAAGGAATCATGGACAGCTGCTTGGCAAGGGCAGGAACGAAACCCCGGGATGAGCTTAATGTGGCATTCGATCGTGGTGCCAGCCTGGGTGCAAGATTTAGCAAAGAGAAGCTTTTACTGATCTTTTTTTGGCCTCTCATCTTTGTAAAATGTTCAAAATACACCCTTGCTGAAAGTCCACACAAGGTTCCCCGTGCAGTCACTGACCTGGCTCACAGCACAGAGAGGCCTGCTGGGGCAGACTGGGGGAGTCCAGCGACTCCCTCCAAGGGGATAAAAAGCTTTTCCATTCAGCCTTTGGACCGTTCACCCCCTGCTCAGTGAATCATCGCCTTGGAGGCCACACAGCCCCAGATGGATGTTTTCATTGTTGCTGCACGAACCCAGGCAGCCCCATCCTTCTGTCCACATCCTTCCAGGTGCTGGCAAGCTGCTGAAGACTTGTTTAAAAATTCAGAGGATGTCCTAGGAGCTGTGTTTACCCAGAGCTCACACAGAGGGTATGTGTGGCAGACCCCGGAGCACACAGGAGGATGTGGGGGCACAGGGAGCCCTTACCAGGGTTGGGTGATGCTGACAGACAACACCATGGATACAAACCACTGGCTCCTGCCTTGGATGTGGCTGCATGTTGTGATGGACAAGCTGGTGAGGATGTGAGTGATTTCTGCAAGCTGCCACGGCTGGAAAAGCAGCAAAGAAAACACAAGGGCTCAGCAGTGCTGGGCTGGGGGAAGCTCTGTGCAGGGCTGTGGGTCCCTGGGCTCCTGGAGGAGATTTCAATAGTGTATTGGGTGCTGTGCCTGGGAATGGTACATGTTAGTCATACAAAGAAACAATTTCAAAGCTTTCCCTGCCAACAGGAGGGAGATGCTTCGCTGTCCTGGATGGGGGGCACAGCTGGAAGAGGTGTCAGGTTTGCCAGTGTTGGCTCAGCTGAGTTCCCATGAAATGTTCCTCCTTGGTGGCAGAGCATCCAGGCTCCCCATGTGCCTGAGGGGCTCTCCTCACTTATCAGTTGGTCCCAAAGCAGCGCTGGCAGCCAGTGATAGCCACAAACAAACCCAGGATGTTTGTGGTCTAACTGACACCAGCCCAGCTCGTGCCTGTCTCCAGCTGGGGAGGGATGCTGGAGGCTGGAGCAGCTCGGGAAGGGTGGTCACACGCACGTCTGGCTGGAGGCACGGAGGGTGGATCCAGTGTGGGTGGGAAGGGGCTGTGTCCTCCTCTTGGCTTGGTGCTCAGCACTCCTGCACAACACGGGGGGAGCAGCAGGACTGGGGTCTCTGTGTGCCAGGACTGGGCAGGGCACAGGCAGGGCAGGGCCAGCCCAGGTGAGCACACAGCAGGTGAACCTGCCCGCTGTGCCCTCGTGGGTTGTGTCAGCCTCTCTGCCTCCCCATGTCCTGTCAGGAAACTAAAATTCAGACGGTATCCTGGTAAAACTATCTCATTTCTGAAGGGTTAAAGAGAGCAAGAAGCGAGAAGGCCTTGGCAGTCTCTACTTGCAGATGTTCCCTTGCTGTGACATCCTCCCAACACACCCCTGCCAAGGCACCAGCCCTTTAAACCTCCTGTAACATCTCCCTGTAAGCAGTTTTACTATTGCCTGGAAGAGCCTCACAACCCCCTCTCGAGGAATTTGGATCATGACAAATTTGGCTGATCAGGGTTACAAAATCAGTGTGAGGAGGGTCCAGCCGGGAGCAGCGCAGCCCCCACGACCTCATGGCACGAGGCCACCAGGGCAGGTGAGAGTCCTGCCAGGACACAGCAGGGGCTGGGGAGGAGTCCCCTCCCTCGGCTCAGCACAGGAGGAAGGTGCAGCCACCTGCTCCCTTCCAGACTGTGGCTGTTTCATGCCCACAGAACACCCGGGCAGCCAGACTGACGTGTGGATGGATTTTATGTGACAGAGATACACAAGGCTGGGTGTGAGTCCTGTGTCACCACAGAATCACAGAAACATCCTGACTTGGAAGGGACCCACAGAGATCATCAAAGTCCAACTGCTGGCCCTGCACGGGACAATCCCAGCAATCCCACCACGTGCCTGAGACCATCACCCAAACACCTGAACTGTGGCATCAGGACAGCGCAGGGCTGGGGGTGGCTGAAGGGCAGCGTGGCTCAAACCTGCAGGGGACACTTGGGCTCAGAGACCCCCACAGAAGCATCTCCTAAGGAGGGTGGTCACTCCGTTTATTCCTCATGTGCGGTCGGCAATGACCTGGCACAGCCAGAAGTGAGAGGAGTTTTTAAAATCATTTATTACTTTAAATGTCCGTTTTCCTGGAGGTGACCTGGGATCTGATGGGGATCAAGGCCAGTGACAGTGGCTGCCAGCGACACGTGGCTGGGCTGGGCGAGGGCTGATGTCTGCGTGCAGGGAGCAGGACAGCAGCAGGCTCTGTGTGCTGTGAGGATGTGTTTGCTGAGCTGTTAGTGCAGGGAAGTGGGATGATGGTGGGATGGAAGGGACTCCATCGCTGGGTGTGCACAGAGGCAGCATCTCGCTCCGAGCAGCCCCGGGTGGGCAGCCAGCAGCATGTGCCAGGGTCCAAGCCAGCGTGTTGGAGGCACAGGAGGTCTGGGAAGTCCGATCTGATGCTTCTCCCCTGGTCTCCTCCAGGAGAGACACTGCTTTGGTTCCTTCTCCTGGCTGTGTCCCAGCTGTGCCCCTGTGCTGGACAGGCTGGGGTGGATGGTCCAGAGGATGCAGGAGAAGCAGAGCAGGGCAGGTTCCTACTGCAAGCTCAGCCACTGCTGGGGCAGCAGGAACACCTACACCGTGTCCTTCCTGTCCATCGGGGAGCTCATCACGTAACCAGGTGCAGCAGAGGAGGGAGGAGTGTGAGGGCTCTGCACTCCTCTGTCCTGAATGGGGAGGCCCTGTGGAAGAGGGGCTGCTGGTGGCCTGGTGCTGGGAGGCAGCAGGGATGGAGGGTGACGAAGCACAGGGGAGTCCAGAGCATCCCCTGGGGAACCCCAAAGCTGGCTTTGTGCAAGGTATTCACTGGCAAGAGATGTGAGTCTGCTGAGGACAGCAGGGCAGCCACACTCCCGAGGCACTCCAGCTTTTCAGAGAGCTGGGAGCAGCCTCTCCTTGATGGCTAGTGTGGAGGACATCCAGGATGGGACTATCTCCTGTCCTGCTCCTGCTCGCACA